AGGTACATCATTTCCATGGACATCAGGTTGGCATACACAGGCATTAGGAGAAAGAGCCCAACTGAAAAAGAACACAAAGAAAAGATGGTGAGTAAAAGATGATGTAAGTAAGCAGAAATCTATCTCCTTAACATGCTACTCCTGGAATGTTGCCCCTGAGAAGGGATGCAAAGTGGAGATCCACAACCACTTTCTGGACTCCATGGAGTTCTTTGAGTCTCTGAGGCTGAACCAGGTTTTGGGTCAAGCTCTCTCAAAGAGACTAAGAAAGAGGAAGCTTTGAAGATTTGAATCATTCTTGATGGAGCACCCCAGAAGAGCTTCTGCTGCAAAATTTCAAGCTTTCTCAAGGTCCATGTAATCCATCATCATCACAATTTTAGGAATGGGCCCTGTCACAATATGTCAAGGTGGCAGAAACACAGAACCTGTACTCACTTTCTGACCGGATGGTTATTTACCTGCTTCTCCAGGACCAGGGGTGCTGTCTAGAGCACAAAGCAGTGTGTTGGAGTCCTGACTTTAGTCAAGCCCTCTTTCTCCACTAGGTCTCAGTACTGGGTTTCTGACTCTCAAACTCTACAAACTCTTAGCATGAATGATTTGGTCCAACCTCCACACTGAGATACTTCAACAAACATGAGCATAGTTTTAACAGTTCAAGGCCATGCCTCTGGGATGACCCCAGCCCCCTTACAGTTCTGCCTGAGAAAGTTCAACATTGTCAACTGAATTTACTGTTTGTTCTAGCCAAAGCTGACTGCAGGCCTCAGGCTTAGACTATTTCTGTTAGAAAACTTACAATTGTAAAATACTTTCTCTGACTCTTTGTGATTGATCTTCTACAACCCATAAATGCCTTTATCAAAGACCTGAGAGTCATTCCTTTGAATGTAGTAAAATCAGGATAGGACCCTATCTCCCAGCCTCTGTATGGGGGGCAATAACCTGACATTTTTGTCTATGTCCCAGTAGGACAGTATTTTTTTGGTTGAGAACCACTGATCTAAAGGAAATGTTTGGGGTCTGCCCTAATTTTGTCTCATTTCTCAAATGCGTAAGCATGTTTAGGACGAGCATAGCTTGGGGTTCCACGAAAACTTTCTTTGTGAGTTGGTATGGGTTTGATTTTGGTTAAGAGCAAAGTATTTTTGCTTATGATATTTTATCATAGTCAGAATTATTTAACTTCCCTATTTTCTTTCAAGCCAGAACACATATTCAGGTTTATATATATTTCTTTCAAGCCTGAACACGCATATATATTATATATATATATATTTGTACATACATATGATTTTCACTTAAATTGGGTGAAAATATCATAAAAGGTTTCCAGTGACTTGTGGTTTTGTTGTTGTTGATTTTTAGAGAGCACCTGAGTAGAGGAGGGGCAGAAAAAGAAGGAGAGAGACTCTTAAGCAGTCGCACACTCAGCACAGACCTCAACTTGGGGCTCAATCTCATGACCCTGGGATCACGACCTAAGCCCAAATCAAGAGTTGGGTATTTAACCAACTGAGCCAACCAGGTGCTCCATGTGACTTGTGTTTATGAAGCGGGCATTTAAACATTTGCAGGATTACTGAACCTCAAAGACTGGTTAGAAATGCCCTGTACTTTCCACTGAGAAACTGAACACATGTCTTAACAGTTATTATTGCTCCTCTTGAAAGCTTTTTAATTTTAGGTTTATTTATTTATAATCTCTGTACCCAACATGGGGCTCGAACTCACCACCCCAAGATCAAGAGACACATGGTCTGCCAACTGAGCCAGCCAGGAACCCTGAAAGCTTTTGATACACAAGATACCAGTTTAGAAATTAAAAATCCTTTATGTTACAAAATATACTTTGAATGATGGAAGGTTTCCTTTGTGTTTTAAAATATCTTTACAGTTGATTGTTCAAATACTGGCTTTCTGTAAAAAAACTTATGATAATTTAGACTGTTTGCATTAGAATATCAATACATTTTGTTGTTTGGGTAGTTTTAATGTATGTAGACCATGGGAGCAACCTGCTTCCTCTCACACAGTAGCTCTCAGGTGCCTTTTATTCCTGAGCTTCTATATTCTCTGGCTTCATAATGTCAGTGCTTTGGCATTCTTTTCCTATTTTTCCTCCCTATCAAAATACCAATTATTCTTTTCTTCTTGACAGGTGTTTAGTTTTCCTATGATAGTCTCAGATGCAAGGCTTAGATTGGCATCCTGACTTCATCCCTCTTGAACTATCTCATTAGACGCACATTAGAAGTACCTATTTGCAGGATGCCTGGGTGGTGCAGTCAGTGAAGCTTCCAACTTGGGCTCAAGTCATGATCTCATGGTTTGTGAGTTCAGGCCCTGCATCAGGCTCTGTGCTGACAGCTCAGTCTCAAGCCTGCTTCAGATTCTGTGTCTCCATCTCTCTCTCTGCCCCACTCCACTCACACTCTGTCTCACTCTTTCTCTATGAAAAATAAATAAATATTAAAAAAAAATTTTTTAAATACCTATTTGCTTTTTTTGCTTTCCTTTTCAGACTTTTGCCCCCAGGAAGTCTGAAATAAGACATGCTACTTTTCCAAGTCACGATAAAACATGGCCTGGTCTCTCTGTGAGAGCATTGCTGTTGTGCCGTCTGGCTTGACAACGGCTTGCTTCAAGGACATGGTATGATAAGGAAAGTGGCTCCAAGTACTCACCCATGTAGAAACACAGGTGCTGCTTTTCATAGTTGATGTAACTGATTTTCTTCTTGCCATTCTGAAAGGAGAGAGCATAAAACTAAAATAAGAGACAATGCTTGTGGTCGTTAATACTCAAGAACATTGTGTGTGTGTGTGTGTGTGTGTGTGTGTGTGTGTGTTTAAAATCTCTATGGAAAGAGCCATATGGTCAGAATTTGTTGGCTGTCACACTTGAGGCACTAGAAGAACAAGAACTGGAATAAGAGAAAATACTGCAGCATCTTTTTTCTTTAATTAAATGTGGGTAATTCTTGCATTTGACTACGGGGATTGTGATTTTTTAAAAATTCCTATGGTAGCCATTTTGAAATTTTTTTGTCCTTCTATGGAGTGGAGTGGTGATCAAAAGGGAATATTTCTGATGGGTTTTCCTAGCTTCTCTTCACTATGGTGTTTAGAAGTCTGCCTGAAGCTCAGTCTCCATCTCCATTCATTCATTCAACAGATATTTGTCAAATAGTCATGTGTAGAAGATATAGGCATGGCCCCTCTTATCTGTCCCATCTTCTCTCCTTTGTGTTCTCACTGTGGATCTCACACTGTGATGGACTATTTATAAGGTGCAATGATATTACTAAATCTTAATGCTGGTAATTCGATTCAGTTTCTAGAGGAGTCTCCTTAGTTAATTTATTGTATGCTTAGTGCACAAGGACAGCAAACACCCTGAGGGGAGGCATAGAGGTAATGGTTAAACTTCCAGTACCTAGTAAACATACAATTAATGTTCAGTTGAAAGAAAGAATGAATGAATCAAAATTTACATCTGCTCTATAGTTTTATGGTATGTTCACTTGGTCACAATACTATGGGAAGTGATTGATTTCTGCTGTCCCCCATTCTGCTGATACCTTCCCTCCTACATATAGATATCTTTTTGTATTTGGATGGCAGGGTTGGCCTTTTCTTCTCTTACTATGATAGGTAAAAATAAATAGCATAATGATGATGTAATAAGAACCATTTCCAGTTACTCTCAAACCTGCAGACATTTAAGTAGTGGGAAACATGGGGAAAAGAGCAGGTGGAAATTCCTGGGAGCTGGCACACCTAAACAGAGGACTGATTTTGAGTATCACTCCAAAGGAGGACTCTAAGTCTTTCAGAACATGAGCACAGAACCTGGAAAGTAGAATGTTTGAAGAAAATGGTAGAAATATGACAGTAAAATGAGAATGAAGAAAAAGTTCAGGGCTCATCAGAACCATTTTTTATGTAAAACAACTGAATTTTAGAGTTTAAATAATTTCAAGCAATGTCTCGGACAGTAGTAGCTCTGCAACTGTATTAAATGGAGCCCTAGGGTCTAGGGAGATGTTGACGAGCAGCTGTAAAACTTGGAGAGGTGACCTCCACCATTTGTGAAGAGGCAGCATGCATACTGAACATAGCCTTAAGGAGGTACTTCTGGGGAGGGGCAGCCTGCTTCATAAAATTCAGTAAGGCAAACCCTTCTTACTCTGTGGGGATGATTAGAGAAATCAAAGGATCACACTTTTGTTGATGAGCGTAGGAGTCCACAAACATCAGGCAAGTCCAATTTGTTTGTGGAGCCATTGTCAAAAGCAACTGATTTGTGATGGCAGCCAGAGATTTTTTTAATATTATTTATTTTGAGAGAGACAGAACAAGCAGTGGAGGGGCAGAGAGAGAATAGGAAAGAGGATCCAAAGCAGGGTCCCTGCTGACAGCAGTGAGCCTGATGTGGGGGTTCAAACTCAGGAACCATGAAATCATGACCTGAGAGGAAGTCAGATGCTTAACCGACTGAGCCACCCAGGCACCTTCAGAGACTTTTAAAAATCTAGTCAAGGGATTGTTTCCTAATTCAGTGGAGAAGAAAATTGGGTCTTCCAAAGCTGGGAAAGCTTATTTTCAAAAAGTTGCACAACTTTTGGTTTATGTAGCACAAACCACAGGCAGCAACTGACAGAGCTATTCTTACTTTTAATAAAACTCCTAAGTTGTTTTAGGAAATAGCAGCCTCTTCCTAAGCACCGGAATCTCGGGATCTACCATTTCCCTAGAGGGGGGAGATCTTTCTGTGATTATCCTCATATCTCCTTTGTTGAAGTAAGACTTTCTCCTAAAAAAAAAATTGGTAATAGTCCTTTACATGATGATTTTAAGTTGAGGCTAAATAAAATCAATAACTGAAAAATCCTGGAGTTGACTTTACCCTCCCTTTTCTATTGTTTAACAAGTCCAAATGAGAGGTGAGATCTCTAAGTGTCTTAGAAAACATTTGGGCTGTGGTTCATGTTTAAACGAACAAAATGAACATGAACTAAAAATACCAGCACAGCCTTTCCTCACTGAGCTAGACTTAGTTGAGATAGCTAGTTATTCAGATATTTGTGATTTAGTGCTTATTGGATGTACTGATATGTTTTTTTCTGAGCGAATGTCTCATCCTCGTCCAACTTTGGAAAGTCATCGCCAACCTCAGTCATGTGGTTTCACTACCTAACATTAACTTTTGTTGCCTTACAAGTAGTGAGGGCCACTGGGCAGGGATCTGTCTATCACCAGGATTGCTCAAGCAGAGTGATACGGGTTATCATATTTCCTGCTGTTGGAGGTTGGCGACATGTCCTTTCAAGTCACAGAGTCCCATGCTTCACATCTTCTTCTATTCATACAACCCCAGAATCAGTTACTTCACATCTCTATACCAGACATAAAAGAAGGAGACGTGTTCTGAGAACATGCTTGAAGTGGGAACCCTCAGCTCGATCTTTCCAGGACAAGACCATAGACATTTCCAGGAACCACTTCCGGGAACATTTCTCATGTTTGCAGCAGCTCTAAACATACCTGGGCAGGCTTCAAATATCCATTCACAAAAAGTGGGCCTGTATTAATATCTGGGTCTTTGGGGTAGATGTTTGTTTTTACATGATGTTGGAAGTGTCGGTGATTCCACCAGCATGTTGACAGGCCCTGAGGAGAAGAGAGGGTTCATTAGCTGCAAGATTTCTCTCCTGGGATGTCCTTCGCTCTCAGAGTTTTCTGCATGCATCTCCAAAGTCAAAGTAAGATATCTGAGCTTCTGGAACTTGTTCCCTGACTGCTGGGTCACAGAATGGCTCATTGGACAGAGCCTTTCAAAGCCTACAATCAAATAATCATGGGATCCAGGAACACAAATTCAGGCTAATGCAACTCCTGATCATGAAAATTCACAAAAACCGGTAAAATGAAATGTTTTTCCATCCTTTATTTTGGGTGGGGGTCCTCATTTAAAAAATCCTGAAGGTAGGAAGGGGAGTTAGTATTCTTATTTTACAAATAAAGAAAATTCAACTCTAAAACTTTAATTAGCTCTCGGGAAAAAACGGTCCTAAGAATCCTGCTTTAATCAGTATTTCAAAGAATCATGGATCTGAAATGATTTTGTAGGGGGCTTGGCTCAGATTCTTGCATGTTCAGGCTTCAATGATCTCATATAAATATAAATGAGAATAAAAATATTTTAACTGATGCCGACTTCAAATCATCTCTGATTAGGTTGCTTATGATTTTCTTTCTCTCAATGACAGTATAAAGGTTTTAATAGAGCAAGGATTAGAGCACATCAATGTGGTTTCATACCCTGGATATATAAATACTGCTGTGTGGCTTGGGTAAATTTCACCCTCTTTGAGGCTCTATTCCATCTGCAGTAATGACATTTACCTCCATGGGTTGTTTGGGGAGACATGAGATGATATATGCAAAATGTTGGCATACTGAGATATTCAATTTCTTCTCCTTTCCCCTATTACATAAATTATTACATAAGAATAAGCAGTATTTGGTTTTTATTGCATATTTGATATATCTCAATAACTGGCCTATACATGTTTTACATTGTCACTGTCCAATATGGTAGCCATGAGCCACATGCTGGCTTTTGAGCACTTGAAGTGTGACCAGTCAAATTAAGATGGCTGTATGTGTATAATATTGGATTTTGAGGCATGGTATGAAAAAAGGAGTGTAAAATATCTATTAACAACTTTTATATTGATTACATGTAGAAATTATAATATTTTGAATATATATGTGGTAATAAAGTTATCTTTTAAGATGTGGCTATGAGAAAATTTTAAATGATTTATATCATTTTAATGTGGCTTAGAATTATATTTCTGTTGGACTACACTCATCTAGACACTATACATCCATGGTAGAGGGGGAAGGGAATGTTTGAAAATCATGTGAGCATTGCCTTCTAGTCTTATTGCAGAGTCCTCTCTTAGCAAACCCTCGTGTTATCATCCCTCCGGAGTGATAGTCTCTTTTTACCACTAACACTCCCTACCATCCTTATGGTGGAATCTCTCTTCCTGCATCCCACATCTCTTCCCTGAATCTCATGCTTGAAAGGGAAATCACTTTCCAAACATTTCCTTGTGGGTGTTTCATGATATGTCAAACTCAAGGTGTACTCATCAATTTTCATTCCCCCTGTGGGGTCTCCATTGCACTCTGCTCGTCTCCTACTAAACTGCATACCACCCACTCACCCTTACAATTGTGCATTTTCTCTTTGTTTATCCATTCATTATTTATTTTGAAATACCTCCCATGCATCAGACACTGAGCCAAGTATTTGCTGTATAAAGTTAGACATGATAAAATGGAGCTCCCACACTTATGAAACATACAACCCAACAGGAGCAATACAGAAACAAGGGCACTGTGATAAACAATGATTCACTTTGTTAGTTTAATCCTTTGTGAGCTAACATTTTGACTGTACCCTTGCAGTCAATGACTATCTGTGGAAACTGGTAATGTCAGAGTAATTATTGGTGTGATAAGGCAGCTGGCTCTACCCTCACCCCTCGGTCTGGAAGCCACAATTACTGGAGGTGAGGGATAGTGATCCAGCTGGAAGTGAAGATAATCAGCTACATGCAAATAGGTTGCCCCTGTACCAAATTCCATATAAGAACCACCCTAAGTCATTCCTCATTTCCATGTTAGGTTCTTTCTTGGTGCGTTATAAGGATCCAAACATTGTTCTAAAGCCATTTTGGGGCTGAATTCAAATCCCTGCTACTGGGTGTATGTGGCGTTGGGTAATTTCCTCATCTGTGAAATGAATGAGAAAAATGTTACAGGAAATAACATACTTGACACTCCCCCCCCCCCAAAATTATTTTAGGATGTAGTCATGGAAACAGGAAAGGCCAGATTTTCAAGGCAGATCTTAATATCAAATATTCTATCTCTTTGTCCCTATAATGACACTTGATTCTTATAGTTTTCAAACTGGGCATGCTGGGTGTTGGGGAGGGGATGTCGAAAAATATGCTACAGGGAGTCCATTTTGATTTGAACATTGCACAGAAGTCCAAAATGTGTGCAGACATTTCAGAGTGTACTTTCAGAAGGGCTCTTTTGCTGCACACACACACAAAAAAGCAAAGACCAGACATGCACCATTACTAGCACAGGTAGTGAAAGCATATTCCAACAAAATCTCAATATATATTTATGCTTTTCCATGGGGGAGGGTAAATTGGCATGATTCAAGTTTTGAAATTTAACATTGTAATGTATGTAGAAGGTGAAGTTGTTGCTGCTTCTATTATAATTTTCTTTGTTACTTCCCTCCTTCCCAACTTTCCTTCCCCTAGGTAGTTTACTCTGCTGCAGATGATTGAAGCCTGTATTCATTTTGCTCACAAATTGCTGGTTTTGCCTGCAAAAGGCCCAGTGCACTCAATTAGCTTTTAGAGCATTTCCCATTTACTTCCTCTGTTCATGAGTTATCAAGGTTGTGTTCATTTCAACTAGTGCAAAACTTGTTTCTGGCAACACAACTCATAGAGAAAGAGCAGTGTACAAATTTGGACCAATGGAAAAGCAATGATTTGTTTTTAAAGCACCAGCAAGGGTAGAGCTTGAAACATTATATATACTGACACCAGATCAACTGTCAATTATCTCCAGGTCACATGAGTCTCCTTTTCCCTCTGACTTCCTCAAAACAGGGGAGGGAGAGTGGGAGGGTCCATTACCTAATTCTTTCTGTGGGATTTCCTTCTTTTATTCTGTGGTAAAGATTTCTGATTGAACACAGAAACAGTGTCAATTTAGCACTAGTGGATGGAGGGCAGAACAGTGCACCTACAGGAATTTCCCAGTTAAATAAAACATCAAATAAAATGACAATATGTTATTCATTCTAACAATTTTGAGTAACAGACATAATTCTAATAGGAACCCAGATCCCACTCAGTGTTACTGAATCTACTTAAACTTTGTTTGCTCGACTGGAAAGAGGATAAATAAGACGGTGATTTTAAGTATCTTCCAGTTCAATATAAAACAACAGTGCTAAGACAAAACAAAAGTGCCTGTGAGTTTTTTCTAAAATGAGCTGGCTTGAATGCAATATTTGGCTTAGTGGAAGGCTCAGAGGCATTTCCTCCCCCCCCCCCCCCCCCCCCCGCCCCCCGTCTGGGCCAGTGTACATAGTCACTAAATCCTAGAATGTCCTAGAAAAGCAGACATCCAGTTTAACTCCTAATATTAGAGATAAGGACATGGAGAGTCAGATATCAGACAAGATCACACAAGGGGCCTTTTCAGAGTCAGATCTAGCACCCACTCTTAGCAGTCCTGTACTGTTACCTTGGTTCACCCATCCATCCATCCACTCAACAAATGCTATTGAAGGCTTACTATGTGCCAAGCACTCTGCTAGGTGCTGCAGCATAGTGGCACATAGGACAAAGTATATGCTCTCCTGGAGTTTGTGCAGGGATACAAGGCCAACTGCCATCATCATCACTGCTGTTTCCAGCCTTCTGGGATTTGCAGCCCTTGACTCTTGAACAGTGCCATCTGACCTGTCTTGTCCACTTTTTCTCTCTCTTCACTATTATCTCTTCTGCATCCTTTCCTATTTCTTCATAGCCCTGTCCTTCTAAGACAAATCGGGCTTTGCTAGATTCCTGTAGCTTCCCAGCAGTAAATATTCAGACTCCTTCTAGAAACATTCCCATTCATGATTTTACAGAGCACCTCTTCATTTATAAAGGTACAATTGTTCTCCTCCAAGGTGGTTTCTTAATTGGGTACCAGGGACTGGGCCAAAGACTTTATTAGTGTAAGAAAAAAAAAAACTGTTGGAATTTACTAAATAAAAATAAACCTTCCCTCATAAAAATTCCAAATTTTAATTTTAACATATATATTATAATGTCATGTGTATATATATATATATATATATATATTAGTACCTACATTTTTATTATATTTATATTTATTTGCAAATCTATTTATGCACAAACACTTTTTTTACTCCTATCAGCACACAAATTTGGTAACCATAGTCTGAGAAAATGAGTTTTGAGAATTCCATCATGCTCCATGAACATCCTGTACCTTGAGATGACTCATCACAAACTTTTGCATCAAGCGGCTCCACTTGGACTTTGGAAATATAGAAGTGTGTCCGAAGTCATGTTGCAGAAAAAAACACTGAACCTAGAAGAGATTAAGTTGTTGTTAGAGAGGTTGAGGAGTTAAGAAGAAATTAATCAATGAGCCCACCCATAGATTCAGGAGCCCATTGGAGAAGAATGGTGGGGGATCTCATCTGGCCCCAAGCCAAGTTCACTTTCTATTTCCCACACATTGCTTTCTTTCCCACTTGTGTGCCTTTGTGAACTGAGTTCTTTCAGCCTAGAACATTTTCCTTACCACTGTCAAATCTTCCAGTGAGGAGGACAAAGAGTATGGCCTTTGGAGTCAGGCAGATTTGGGTTCTCAACTGTTCTTTACCATGTATGTGTTGCACAGATCTTGGCAGGTTACTCAGTAGCTCTGAACCTCAGCTCTTCATCTGATAGGTAGGGATAATAATACCTTACTCATGGACTGTTGGCAAACTTACATACCTCCAAAGTGTTTGGCTTATGTTAAGCACCAAACAAATATTTGCTTCCTTTCCAGTTTGCAAAAGAATTGCTTTTCAAGGAATAAAGCAAGTTGACTTTACAAAAAATAAATAAATAACATATCATAAATTCTGGAATTAACGTTGACATTAATTTTCCATAAAACCTTCCCCAGTTATCCCCATGAGAATTAAATGCCTCTTTCTGCTTTAACAGCATATGCTGGTTCCTCTCTTTGGCACCGATGTCATTCTGTCACATAGAATGTTTACCAGTTTGAACATCGGTTTCCCCAGTGGAAGACTCTTTTCCCCAGGGAAGGAACCAGGTGCATTTCCTTTTGTGTCCCCCCCACAGTGTTGTGCTTACAGAAAGCCATGTTCAGAGGTTCACACTTCATTCAACAAAGATTTATCCAATGCTCTGCTGGTGCCAGTCGTTGATTACAATTTATGGTGGAATCCATAAGTTCAGGTTTTTAAGTTTTTATATAAATTCCAGTTAGTTAATATACAGTGTAATGCTAGTTTCAGATATACGATACAGTGATTCGACACCTCCGTACAACCCCCAGTGCTCATCGTGACAAGTTCACTCCTTAATCCCCATCACCTATTTCATACATCCCCCCACCCCCTCTCCTTTGGTAACCATCAGTTTGTTCTCCATAGTTAAGATTCTGTTTCTTGATTTGCCTTTCTCTCTTTTTATTGGTTGGAAGATGAATAAAAGACAAAAGTGAGTGTTACATGGCTGAGAAACGACTTCAGTTACTGAACTGGTATGGATACAATTGGGCAAAGACGAACATCTGTCATAAATTAAATATTTCCTATGTGCTAGTCATTGTGCTAAGTGTTTTACACGTTAACTTGTTTAGTAGAGAATATTTACATAAAACTTGTTATCCCGTTTTACAGACAAAAGACTGGGGGCTGGCAAGATGTGGTAACTTGCTGGTGTCAGATGTGGATTAGTAGCTTGCCAGGAAGTGTCAGGAAGCACCTGGTGCAGGTCTAAAGGGAGAAGGAAACAATTCTGAATTGTCCCCTAAAGCCACTGCTTGATTTTAGGGTATGTGCTTACCTGGGAAATTGTGAGAAGGAAGGAGATGAATATTGTCACAGGCCAGCCACTGCCAAAATGCCACACTATTAGCCAAGCCAGAGTTTCTAAAATCAAGATCTGGGCAAACTGAAGGAAGAAGAACACTGGGTTGACCTTGAACATGTTCATGGCCTCTAATGTTCTCCGCAATTCTCGGAAATCTTCCACCAGCTGGGACTGAGAAATAAATGTTCAAGGAAGGAATTAGTTCCCTCAGGGAACACAAATGAACACAATTAATAATCTCTTTTATTACTTTATTAATACCTTACTTTTATGAATAGAAATTTAAGGATATTAACAAATTTAATTGAGCAAAATTAAAAACATAAAACTACGAGCAAACAAAACCTTTTAAAAAGGTTATGATAATTTTTTTTTTTCAGGAGAAGAGAAAAAATGGGTAGTGATTTGTAAACTGTCCTCAGAAAGAGTAGGGTTTGGGGGGGGGGCGATTCTAGGGAGTTATTGTCTAACAGTTGTCTTTTAACCATCAGTATTGTTTCAGGTATTGATTGATCACCGATGATGCTTCAGGGAACTGTGTGGTCTATATGGACTTGTGTTACCATACGTAGTGGTACACTTTACACAGAATTTTCTACTTCATCATCAGATCAGTTTGTGCAAAGAGCCCTTTCATTAAAGATGATTAACATAGAAAAATGCAGTTCATGTAAATTAGTTCAAAGGAAGACTTTCCTATGAGCTGCTTGATGGGTCCCTAGGCACAAGGCAGGATAGTGTGTGTGTGCTGATGTGTATGTGTGTCTGTATGTGTGGGGGCGGGTAAGTTTCCTTGTCCTGTGTGTGTGTAACATGCATATGTGCATGTGTGTGCATGGTCAAGGCTAGTATTGGTTTACAAGCTTGCCAATCAAACTGGAGAGTCAGTGCAAGAGATGGGAAGAAATATCTCTTAGCTTAATGACTAATGGGTTTGAAAACAGGACAGTTGACACAGTGACCAGGGTATAAGAAAGAAAACAAGACTGTTCAAGGAGATACACAAAAGGAGAGAAATTTGTAGCATAAAATGTAAAAGCTATGAACATAATTCTAGAAGCAAAATTTTCATTTGGATTGGGGCCAGAAATAAGTGACTTGGAATCCCAGTTTTCTGATACACCAACTATGGGACTTTCAGATAGCAATTTATTTTCCTTGGACTATAGTTTCACCAAATGTAGAAAGGGCTTCTGTTATGATATATTCACATCTTTCATTCAATAGCTATTTATGGAGTCCGTACTATATGTCTGATCCTGTGCAGGTGGGTTCTTGAGTACACAGAGATAAGCAATATAGATAGATAGATAGATAGATACATACATACATACATACATACATACATACATATTCCCTGCTATCATGGAACTTACTTTAAAAGGGAACATAGACACAGACATCAAACATTTTTATAATCAGTCACTGGACAAAAATTGTATCTAGATATATCTGGGCAAAAAAAGAGGTACTTGGAGACATGGAAATTCTGTTTGGTACAGGACCAAACATTTCTTTCCTTTTTACACAGAGGTTTAAGAATTCTGAGTGTCTAAGGAGGATGACGTTATATTGTAATATGTAGAAGCTACTCATTTATGGTATAGCAGGTTCACCCAGCCATGATGTCAGGCATCTCACAGAAAATGATCAATTCTTGGATATGTCAGGAAACGATCAGCTGGCCTTTGTCCTCATCCCTCCACATGTTTCTGAGTCCTGAGACCCCACTCACACTTTTGTGTCTCTCCTGGCTAGGCTCTTCTGGGGCAAGCTCTCCAATGAGCAGCAGCTTAAGGTACAATTTTGCAATGTCAAGGTCCAGGTGCATGGCTCTGAAGACATCCTGTAAATCACAGAGAATTGATAGAGGCTTAGGAGACACATGCTTATCTACAGAATAGTCCCCTTCCTTACCTTATCCTGTGCCCATCTTGGGAATCAGCAGACTCTATTACAGAGGATTTCTTCTAACCCCAGGTTGATGTCTCCAGTTGAACAATCAAAATTACCCTTGGAGATACTTTGTGAAAGCTTCATGCTGGAGATCCCCCAGCTTGATGCACTGCTTCATTAGGCAAGCCCAACACAGCCAGGATATTCCTGATCATTGGAAGGGATCGCTGTTTACTTTATTGAGCACCAGAAGAATTAATTTGCTGGAGTTAATAAGCCATGATGAATCCTTAAAGTCCAACATCAGGCTTGGTGGAAGTTGCCCACACAGAAACATGCAGCAACCATGACTAGCTGTGAAAAGCACATCTCCCATCAAATCTCCCTCTTGGTTCCTGGCCAAAGCCAAGAGGAATGAAACATTTGAATTAAGTTATTTTTAAAAAAACTGGTTAAAGTTGACATTGATAGTGTAGGATTAATTCACAGGAGAGAAAGGGAGCACAGCCCTTGAGGTCTGAGTTGTCTAAAGTACACGCTTTTCACAAAGTTTTTCACTGGAGGGGTCTCATTACTCTTTCTAAACAGTGCTAGGGCAGTCTCTGCAAGGGTTGTGACAGCCAGGCACATAGAGGTGACCAACTGCTTTTCCCCATCTCAGGTCCATGTTAAGCAGCACCTTGTGGGTAGAGGCTATGTGAAGTGTGGTGGTTCCTATATCCTGCTTATATTTGGAACTAAAAGATATTCTCTTTCCTTCCAGGGATTTAAACCATTTTGGGGGAAGGAAAATTCTCCAAGAGGTGGACTTTCTAGGCTTTCTGCTAATATGACTTTGGGTACAGGAGTTATTAAAAGTGAGGGAATATAATCAACATCATAAATTGAAAACATGGAAGCCACACCCACGACTCTAAAGTGCTGGTATCCCATAGTACTGACTAGGAAAATGGACCCTGGAGTGGCCTTTCTTCATTTAAATTCTGGTTTCTACTTACTAGCTGTGGAGCTATGAAGCTGTGGACAAGTCTCTTGACCTTGTCTGTGCTTCTGTTTTCTCTAACAGAAGGGTGATGACAATAGCCAACCAATTCATAAAGTTACTTTAGGGATTAAGCGAGTCAACATATTAGCCATCTTTCTTGTATGTATACTTCTAGTGCTAAGAACTTACTACCTACATTCCCTTCAATACAGCACCTCAGAGATTTTCTTCCTATACTCCAATGCTTAATGTGTAATGAACTCTGAATTATTTTAGTGAAGATAATGAAACTTCCAAGTTCAAAGTGCAAAGCAACTTTAGATACATCTAAGAACTATGTAGAAGCCTACTTTCTAAGAAGGTGTTTATGTAAAGAATAACATTAATTAGAAGGGTGCAATATCAGCTTTTTAGACTGACTTCTCCTTATGGTCTCTAGGTTCAATGATATAAAAAGGGCTTTGTATTTGCTAGAACCAGTCCAGTCCCTACTTTCCATTCTGCTTCTGCGTACTTTACTCTGACCCCCTTTGGAAATGCTATACTATATAATTTCACATTCTACAACTTTAAAACTTAGTTTCCTGAGCCAGGAAGACAGCCATCCAGTGATTAAGAAGGCTATTAAGTATTTCAGAATGATCCATAGTGGCAAAATATTCTACCTGTTCTTTAAGAGCAGATAGGATGGAAAACATTCTGGTGGATCAAGATAAGAAGGTAGAAGAAAGGTAAGCCATTGAAATTTCATTTTACTATAAGCAGTCATTCAGAACCCTGGAGCAGTGTGCTGACAAAAACATTCTTCTGGGTTCATTGTTTGTTTGTTTGTTTGTTTGTTTGTTTGTTTGTTTGTTTTGTTGGTTGGTTTTGGTGGGGGTTTATTCGTTTGTCTTTTGATTCACAGCAAAATCCATAGGCAACACTGCAATAACAGATCCTAAAGACCAACAGAGTTTTTCCAGAATAGTAAGCCTTGCCCTGCCATGTGGACCTCTTTTCATTGTACTGATGAGCAGTACAACAAAGGAGTTTATGTAGTCTTAGAATATTCAATGTAAAAGAATTTCCTAATAGAGTCTGGATATTGTGGAAGTTGTGAAATTCTCTTTTTGAAACACCTGTAAAAACAGGTTATGTTATCAACACACTTGGGTAAGTATATTCGTGCTGAAGGAAGGAGAGGGGGTAAAATGAAGGGGAGAGGGGATAGTTCTAACTTCTGTTGAGCGTATCTTGTGTACCAGACAATCTATGGGCCAACTCATAATCATCACCTTAGATCTGTGAGGTTCCATCATTTGTGCTATAAAGATAAAGATACAAAGTCTTTGAGGAGAGAAAGTCTTGTCCAAAATGCCACAGCAAATAGGTAAATAGTAGAGCCAAGATTTGAACTAAAGTCTATGTGACTTTAAAGCCATGAAGCTGTAACAATTTATTCTATCCTTAACATGTATAATTCTTTTTCTGAAAGGCCTCTCAAGAGAGAAGTGATGCCAGATTGTTTGGGGTGATGCAAAAATCTGTATGTATCTGCTGGGCATATAGTAATGATACCTCTCCATATTAGGTTTTAATCCCTGAATTGCTTTGCCTCTGGCTTCAATCTGTCTCTCCAGGCTTACCTTTCACTATCACCCTTCATGAGCCATTTGTCCACCAGACATCTTCCCATTCAATGAACATTCCATGCCTGTCTATTGTTCTGAAGCTTGGCACATACTGTTTCCTTTGTCTTAACTACCTTCCTCCATTTTCTCTATAAATACTCTTCCTCACTCCTCAAGATTCAGATTAAATAATGCCTCCACCTAACTTAGGAAAGTTATTTACCATCTCCTGTGGCTCCTGTAGCCCCTAGAGCTTTTCAAATTGTATTATAATGAAACTATGTACCTTCCCCCTTCTCTAGTGGTCTTTGTGTTTTTCTTTTTTAAAAATTAGTATAATATTCATATAGCCTTATATTGGCTTCAGGTGTACAAAAGAACGATTTGATATTTGCATGCATTGCAAAATAATCACCACAATAAGTCTGGTTAACATCTGCCCCCTTACATAGTTACCAAATTCTTTTTCTGGTGATGATAACTTGTAAGATTTAATCTCTCAACACTTTTCAAATACGCAACACAGTATTATTAACTATAATCACCATGCAAAACATTACAACCCCCATGAGTTATTTATTGTAGCTGGAAGTTTGCACTTTTGAACTCCTTCACCCTTTTATCCCACCCCGTACCTCCTGCCTCTGGTAACCACCAATTGGTTTTCTGTATCTATGAGCTTGATATTTTGTTTTCTTTCTTAGATTCCACATATAAGTGAAATCATATGCTATTTTTCTTCCTCTGTCTGACATATTTCAATTAGCATAATGCCTTCTGGGTCCATCCAGGTTGTTGCAAATGGCAGGATTTCGTTCTTTTTTATGGCTGAATAGTATTCTATCGGGTGTGTGTGTGTGTGTGTGTGTGTGTGTGTGTGTGGGCGCACGCGCACGCATGCATGTGCATCACATTTTCTTTATACATTCATCTGTAGCTTTGTAGCATGTACTGATATCAGGGAATCCAGGTGGGTTATTTCTCAAGATTGCTTTGGCTATTTGGGGTCATTTATGGTTCCAATACAAATTTTAGGATTATTTAATCTATTTTCATGAAAAATGCCATTGGAATTCTGATAGATAATGCATGGAACCTGTGGATTGTTTTAGGTAGAATGGACATTTCAACAGATTAAATCTTCCAACCCATGAGCACAGAATACCTTTCCATTTGTTTGTATCTTCCTCAATTTCTTTCATTAATGTCTTAGTTTCTAGTGTGCAGGTCTTTCACCTTCTTGGATAAATTTGTTCCAACGTATGTTAGAGTTATTGAAGACGAAAGCCATGTACTATTGATTAAATTATTCCTACTGTCTCGTTTTGACTGGAATATGGCATGTGGCTCAGTGGATGCCTGATGAATAAGGGAAAGGAGGAATGAAGAGATGAATATAAGCCTTCTCTAACAAAGAAAAAGTTGGGAACATTCAAAAGTGTTGAGCTCAGAGGATACAGGTCTTAAGAACCAGTGTCTCTTCCCTACCCAGCATCTCCCATTTTCATCTGTTAGCTTTTTGACTCCCTTCTTAACCATAATCTCTACTCCTTAATCTATTCATAAATTTGTACCAACATTCATTTCAAAACGGGTTATTTCGACACAGGCCTGAGACAAACCCCTGCATTTACAAACTTAAGTACTATCATGAGGTCGTCCCCTGCACAAAGGCACCCATCCAGGAGGCTAGGTATGGGCTGAAATCCAGCAAACATTCTGTTTGCCAAATCTTGTGCTGCAACCACCCAAGGAGTGTGCCTTCCTAATTCACACTAAGGCACAGTGCAGGGTAGCAAAGGACTAAGCTGCATTATATTGGGGAAATTACTTAATTTCTCAAGCCTCAGGGTTTTTTTCTAAATGAGGATAATAATGTCACCCACTCTGCCTAATGGGTTTACTAATGCTTGCATTCATTTATTCAGTCATTCTATAAAACCTGATTGAGGATCCTATCTTAGCCTAGTAGCTAAGGGATTTGGTTTTGAAAGCCAGACCAAGTAAATAAATTAATAAGTGATTGCACTTTTTGTATTATATTTAGTTTGTCTGGGGGAAGAAATTCTGGAAATAAAACACCAGTGAGAAATATATATACACACAGTCACAAAACAAGGTAACTAGAACATGGATTTTGATTTACTCACCTCACGAAAGCTCACCAGACTAGTCAACATCCAACCACATATGCATTCCCACATCTCTGAGTAATTTCTCTTATGCTTACTCTTCTCTGGTCTCATGTGCTCCAAGGCAAAGGCTAAAGCCCCCTCATATTTTGGGTAGTACATGAGTTGTGAATAGGTCAGTTTGTAAGGAGAATGCCGTCTTTGCCCTTTATCTGGGAGAAAGCCTTTTTGGAATGGAGAATGTTCACTTAAAGTCACCCAGATTCCCCTTCGCCCACAGGAATAAGCAGAGGGTTATTTTTCCACTGCAACTCATTTCATTGTTTGAGAACTTTCATTATTTGAAAGCTCTTCCTTATAGCAAGGTTTTTTTCTGCGATACTTTCTGCTGAGCTCCAGCCCCAGTTCTCTCTCTCTCTGCTCTCCCTCCCAAACCTGCTCATCCTCCTGGCTTCCCTATTCTGTCATGGATATAGTCACCTAGTTCACTATGTCACATATGCACAAGTCAGACAGACTGTTTCTCCACGATTACTCAACCAGTCACTCATCACATTTTATAAATTATGTCTCATAGACATCCTTTGCAGCTACCCCGTCTTTTCCATTCCTGTGGTCAGTACCTTGTTAGGACTTTCAACATGTTCCCTGGGCTCCCTCCTTCATTTTGGCTGACTGTTCTTCAGTACAGCCATCACTTAGCTGCCAGACTGGCCTTTCTGAAAGAAAGCATGTCCTCATGGCCCATCTTCACCTTTAGTGCCTCAGCACCCCCTCTCTCTACTTCTCCACCTATTTTCTACTTGAATCGTTGTTCTGGTGAGAACCAGATAATTTAAGAAATGTTGACAACCCAGAGAAGATGCAACTACTCGTACTGATTACTACTTTCACTTTCACTAATGCTTAGAAATCTGGGTTGGTTTTGTCGTGGTGATTGCCGATGGGGATGGATGCTGTGCTAGGGAAGTGTTATTATGTGTAGTGGAAGAGGAGAAAGAAGAGGAAGGCATGGCTCAGCTCTCAAGAACCTTCCTCTCCCTCTCCTTTCTCTTTTCTCTTTCTCTACCTCTCCTTTCTCACATTCTGTCCTCCTTATGCCATGATAGTCAATGACGCTAATTGAGCACATACCATGGGCCAATATTGTGCTAAGCAAAAGAAGTGGTTAAGCTGGGATGCCCATTCTGGCTGGGTGTTTAGTCCTGACGTGAATCCTGCTTTCACTCCACCTCTGTGAAAAATCCTCTCTTCCTCCAGCCCTAACCTCACCTCCACTGACTGCATGCCACTCTTCTGAACTGCATACAGCTCCCCTGTCTTCCACATGGTAGTCCTCCAAATAGCTGGATGAACTTTTCTATATTTCCTCTAAGTTTTGGTTATCCTTTCCCTGTCATATTGGCCTTTGACCATCATGAGAAATAACTTGAGCTTCCCAGTGTCTTTCTTAGAGTGGGGACTTCAGAGATAATAAGTGGGTTGAACAGCACTAGGATACGAACTTGTTTTCTTTGTTCTAGATATTTCGTTCATGTACATGTATCACAAGGTTGCATTTATGCCTTTCATGGAACCCAGAACATACTGTTGTCTTACATGAAGACTGTGCCCAACTATTGTTTCATAAGCATGTCTTATCCTCAAATGCTTTGTAATCCTATTTTAACAATTGCAAAACAGCCCATCATATGGATATATTGATAACTATATAATCAGTTCTTCTTGGACTTACAGGTTGTTTCTGACTTTTCCCCAGTGAACTCTTCTCAGGTAAAAATACTGGGCCTAGACTCTAATTATTACCACCATGCCATTAGTTTTAAATCATATAGTTTGAAAACAATCAGACAACTCATATGGGAAATAACAGGAACTTATGTACCCATTTTGTTTTGTGGATTTATCTGTCTTGCCTTTGGTTTGGAGAAAATTACAACCCATCTCAGAACTAAGTAATAATAAAACAAAAGCGCTGCTATTTTTTTTTTAGTTTTTAATCTCTGCCAAGCGAGATGAAGGTATTATGATCCCTAATTTCTAGATGAGGAAGCCAAAGCTTCAAGAGTTTCATCAACCTTCTCAACACATTCTTAGTAAGTAGTTGAGCTCAGATACAAGCCAACCCTTTTCCATTCCCAAACCTGTACTCTTAATCATTATGCTGGACCCTTAACAAGGGTTTTAGAATAGCTGACTACATGAACGAGTGAATTAATGATCTATCACTATTCAGCGTTTATGGGGAAAGTAGAAGCTTCAAGGAGAGTTTCCATGTAAATAAAGGAATGGTGCTCTTCACTGGGCAGGTGCGGTCACGGGTTGAGGGCCAGCTAACAGAGACTATGCTTTCTTTGGTCCACAGTTGCCTTTCAGGGCACAACCTGCAAACACGTCTTAGGTTGTAGAGTAAGTCTCTGATTGTAGGTCCTTTATGTCCTGCCCTCCTTCACTAGAGAGAATGATGCTTCTCCACCATGGGCTCCTCTGTTCCCAATCAGATGACACCAAATATAATCAAGATTTCTAAGCTGGTAGTAAACAGGAAATAATAATCACACCTCTGAGGCTATGGATGCCAGTGAGATAAATCATAATAGTTAAAATGTAATGAAACTTTATTAAGTGTTTGGCATTGTGCTAAACACTTTACAAGCATTAGTCCCATTTACCATAAACCAGTTAGATTGGTAAGGTCATTTCCATTTTACAAATGATGAAGCAGAGGCTGCGAGCATTTTAACAACTTTCCCACGTTCATATATCCAGTTGCCAAGCTCAGGCTCCCTGAATTCTGAGTAGCTATGGGGTATTATATTTGTCAGAACTCTTCTGGAGCCTCCCATTCTTCTTGAACCATCTTCCTTTGCGAGAATCTTTTCTCCAAACATTTTTGGATTTACTTACATGAAGTCTAGGGTACATGGCTGCGCACGCTCAGGATTTTCATTCTTAAGATATGAATCCCAAGGTGGCATG